TAAAGTAATGTCAATGACAGATGTCAACATTGTCAATGTAATATTTTTCTGGTAAATTACTTCATGCACTAGTGAAGTATTTGTCTAAATCTATTTTTCACACATATTTGATGGGTTGTAGAAAAAATTTTGTATGCAATACGTGCGTAAAGCACCTTTTTTCACTCATGTGATTGTCACATTCGCCTTCGGCTCGTGCAGTGGCGGATCTAACATGAAGCAAAGGACGCACTCTGCGTCGGGCCCCCAGAGCTGAGGGGCCCCCACACAACCAGATCCTAAAGACATTGATAAAAAAAAAAAAAAAAAAAACTCATCAACATAAAAAAAGCGAAAATTAAATTTTGGAAGTTAAGGCAACTTTGTATATCTCTAGGAAGCCTGCTGTGCTCGACGCGATGTGGCAACCGCGGACGCGCGGGACGCATAATATTTTACTTTTTTGATGTTTTTGTATGTGGAGACAGACTACTGCAATCCAGGTATTCTTTCGATCTGAGCAAACTGATCGGAGTCACTTGAGGTTTGCTTCAATCAATTGTCATCTGGTTTCAGCACGATTTCATTGGCCTAACTGTTTTTTTGATGCCTCATGAACAAACTTGATGTGATCACAATCAGTTTGTTAAGATCGAAAGAATACCTGTACTACATCATTACATGTTGTATTTCTTTTTGTTTAGATAGAAAGTTCCTGAATTTTTACAAATAATTTTTTTTTCGTTTATTTTGTTTTTCATATTGTCTCATATGTTCTTAAAGTCTGTCAAATTTAATTTCGCCGGCGACGTCTGAGGGGCGAAGAGCAGAAAAATGGCGGATACGCATGGTGATTGGTGGGTTGTATCGTGAACCTTGTCAAGCTTGTTTTTATGAAGGTAGCGATAATGGATTTCAATTATCTGCAGCCAATCCAATGACATTTCCGGTTTATTGATGTGTATTGATGTACCTACTGTCAAGAGGAGCTGACGCCCTGTCAATTTTTTGTCCGCATTCTTTTCTTCATCAAATTTTTTTGACGGATATGGCAATTACCGTGCGCATTCCAGCTCTTGGTTATAGTTCGTTGGGACAAACAAAGCCTTTAAAGGACTTTTTATAGGCAAAGGCGCTAGCTTTGTCATTAATGAGATTCGATAGGAGGACAAACATGTCATTGGGATTATGTGTGTGACGTCAGCTAGTACAAGGCTAGTACATAATTAGGCACTAGCTAACGTCACACACAAAACCTTACTTTCGAAAGAGAGACAAACAAAACGTTGAAAGACTATTCACACACATCGGTTAGGCGATAGGCTATTACGACACAAAGCACATAACGTCACTTTAGATAGGGGGACAAACATGTCATTGAATGCCGTTTCTTCCAACTATACATATTTTAGGAATGCCTTATAAGTATTCCTTATGACAGTTTTCCATGAAGAAATGTCAGTTTGATGAATACTTATCGTTGTTGATTGTCCCCCATCGAAAGTGAGGTTATGTGTGTGACGTCAGCTAATGCCTCCAACACCACAAGAAAAATACCTGAAAAAAGCATGGCAGGGCCCCAAATTTTTTTTTGCGTCGGGCCCCAAAGGTTCTAGGTCCGCCACTGGGCTCGTGCGTCAAAATTCACATTCACACGTGAAAAAAGGTTCACTTTACACACTTGTTGCATAAATAACTATTTTCACGGTTTAAGAAGATTTTTTGTTACTTTTATAGGGTGGCTCATATTTCAAGCACTTTACACAAATCTTAAAAATTTACACTTTTTGTATGTTGAAAAACACAGAACTAATGAGTACATTCAGGCGGTCCCAGCGGCTTAGCTCAGCCTCTCAGCAGGAACTTTATTCTCGAAACCAAGGAATAGCGTTCTCATAAGAATGATTACTCTGTCATTGTCAGTGTTATGCCGGACGACAAAAACAGAACCTTCGTTCCAATGAGAACGCTGTTCCTTGGTTTCGAGAATAAGGTTCCTGCTAACAGGCTAAGCTAAGCCGCTGGGACCGCCTGAATGTACCCAATGTTAACGATTTTTTCAAAAATGTGTTTATAACTATAAAGTAAATGCTCTTAGTAATTAATTTCCCAAGTTACAGGTTAATTACTCGAAAAAAACTAAAAAATATTTTCAAAAAGCAAAATGTGGCCCATATACGGACCTTCTCATCCATCAATAACATCAAAAAATGAGAACATAATCGAAAATAAAAATAAAAACAGACGGAGTATCTACACCAGAAATTAGAAAATTGAGATCATTATTTATCTCAATTCAATTTTAACGTTTGGTTGTGTCAACAAAAACATATATGATGCAAATTACTTGCGCTTATCATCGCCACTTTGTTAAGGGAGGAATAAGCCTAGAAATTTCTAGGCTTAGTTAAGCTTATCTTAATGAGACTAGGTTAGACCGGTGGAAACAAAATTATAATATAAGCGGCACTTAACGTTAAGTAAACTTAAATTTGCGTTGGTGGAAACGGCCATAAAATACAAGTTTCATAAGACGTCATTTTATCGCACGAGCCCTATATTAGAAAACGAGCCAGAGGTGAGTTTTCTAAAGGGCGAGCGCGATAATAGTTATTTATGTATCAAGGGTACTAAGTAGATGATTATGCCCTGAGGGCGACAGTCTTACAAAGCCGAGGGCCTCTGGCCCGAGGGTTCGTAAGTCGCCCGAGGATATATATATCTATTAGTACCCGTGGTGCATACAAACTTTTATGTTATACCAGTTGGTTGTGAATAATAAATACCTGGGAAAAAAGTGTCACTTCGCTAATAATTGTCATCAGTGTGCAAACATCATAATTTTTTGACAAAAACAATATGTTTATCAGCGTAAATTTATATTTTATTAATAAAAAATAAGTGAATTGAAAACTGTTTTTTGCGTCTTTATGCCCGCGCGGGCCATAATGTGTACTTTATGCCCGTGCGGGCATAAAGTACACATTATGTATTATGAATTATGTATTAAGTATTATGAATTATGTAGATGGTATCTAAGCTATAAAAACACAATAATGTATTGGTATGACATAAAATGTCTTATGAAACGAATATTTTATGCAATTTTTTCTATTTTGGTATTGTTTAATTAAAAAAAACAATTTTTTCTTGAAAATTTTATTCTCATATTTCCTGATTTCATATGTTTAGGTTGGTAACACTACATGCCAAATATAGAAATCTTCTATTATAAAATCGCGAATGACAATTCGATGGCCATCAGTCAGCCAGTGTTACCAACCTTCGATAAGTAAAAAAGGAGTGTCACAAAGAGCTTCATTTCGAAACTACTTTCAGTGTCGAAAAGACTTCGATATGACACCAAAATAGAAAAATTCCATTGTGTCACTGCCAGTGTCAGGTGTCTTTCGTTTTTCTTGATACAAACATTCATGAATTATTCCACTAAATTCTTCACCTTCACATTCCATACTTTTTGAATCATTACCTTCGAAATCTGTCATGGACAGGAACTTCTTCAGCAGTAAGGAACGAAAATCAGTATAAAACCAAATTATACCAGAGTCGTACTTGTATATCGCATATCCCACTTCTGAAATGTAAGCTTCTGTGTTCCAAACACAATCAAATATGTTGTAAAGCTGAAAATTGGCCAAGTATCTCCAGAGAAAATACAACTTCTGACTAATATTTATATATTTTCAACTTCAACTGTTTTTTTATAAACAACCCCTGCCTACCTAGCTATTATCTAAAATTTTACAATCATCATTATGACACTTCCACATTCAAATGTTACATGTCGTTCAGGATATAAATAAAATGTATAAAGCCCTGTACATATTATTGTTCACACCTTAGTTTGTAGTAGTTATAGTATAGTATATTATATCACTATTGCTAAGTTTTAGATTTTTTTATTCTTGTTACCAGTGACTGGTAGCACTGACTTAAACGAATTGATTAATGATAATACCTATGCAAAAAATATATAATTGTAAATTGTAACTGTAAAGCATGATTTTCATTTCTGATTCCGTTGTCCGTTGAACGTTGAACGATGTCCTTCTAGATATAGAACACTTAAAAACGTTCAGACGTTTGGCCATTTGGCTCTAAGACTTTATTGAGCAGGTTTATAAATACAAAAGTTACCAAATAATGATGAGCTTAATATTTTTAGATTGTCAACCGCTATAGAAAAAACGATAAGCGTCAATTAAAATGTGTTAAACCGCGGTTGATAAGGAATTTTCTTTAATTGGCTTATTTTGTCTAGGCTTCTACAAGCTAGTACCTCTAATTACAAGTCACAAAAACTTATATGGTAATGTGTCTTAGATTCTGTTGTGTTCGTTTATTGTTCTTTTTTCTATATTATGCTTGTTGGGCACTAGCACAAAGGACCGTCACTGATAGTAAGTTTGAAGACAACGGGATCTGCCAGAATTAGTGCAATAATAGCAAAAAAATATGTATAAATAATATTATATTTTATTTCTTACTGTTTGAGTAAGATAAGATAATATTTTGTGACTCATTGTTCTCTATAATAAACTAAAATAATTTGAAAACGATATTATTGTTAATATTTGATTATTTAATCTGATAAATGCATATAAATTACTTATTTGAACGTTTCTTATCTACTTAAGTACTAAATTATCGAACCTTTCAATAATTCTTTGCCAATAACTTTAGTCCACAGTTTCGATAACCTCATACTTAGTCAATAGGTCTGTTCCAACCGACATGAGAACCGTTCTAAAACGGTAATTTCCAGTTGATCAATTCATTTGTCAATTAGGATAAACGTTGAACTTATTGAAAAATAGGTAGACAACTGGAAATTACCGTTCTAGAACGGTTCTCATATCCTGTTGAAATATAGAGCTAATATCAGTCACCATAATTTTCAAAGCACGTTGCTACTTACACAGCTGACTATCCTAAGATAACAAATAATAAAGTTTTTGAATAAAGCTAAATATTTTCATCTAATTATGGTCTTATTTTAGTTACTGATAATGTTAACTCAACGCAACTATCATCCACTGCTAATGAAGAGGCGACAACAAACCAAAGCAGTACAACAAGTGAAGGTAAATATTTCAAACAAAGAATATTTTTAATTCACCCAAGATCTTAACCGAAGAAGAGTCTCTATCTAGGTCTCTAGCTCTAGAATCCGTTTTATCTAATATTTGCTATGATAAATCCTGGCCACATGACAGGTCCAATTTCATTTTATGGTGGCTATTCTTTCTCTATGACGGACTGCTGCGAAATGCTAGACTATATCTTTGTGGTAGTTGTTGGTTGGCAGGTTTGCTAAATGTTCCCATGAGCTCATACCTAACATTGCACGCTCCATCGCTCGTTGTGTTGTGCTTAACTTATTGACCGATTTTTGACAGCGTCAGAAATTTGGATCAATCAAAACGGGTATCACACATTGGTTGTAGACCTTTCGTTTTAGGCACATTGGGATATTCTCTTTTGTATCTCATGAGTTTGGTAATTAGAAATATTTTTCAGTTTTTTTTATTCGCGTAGCTTCAACTTCCTAGCTAGGGAAAGAACAACCCCTAGGGTTTCCAACCGTCCTTTATTTTAAACTAATGTCCTTTGTCCTTTTGAAAGGTTTTAAAGGACAACAAATGTCCTTTAAAATCCGGAAATATAAATAAATGCTCGATTTTTTTTTCAAATTTCCATACTATAAACATAAACCATACTTACACCATCATCGACAACATAGTTTATTTTCAAGCTAAGACTTCAATGTAATATAAAATGTAAAGTTGGCAACATTGGAAAAATTTTGGTAAATCCCCAAGCTCCGATTTTGGACACGTTTTATCCTGTATACCAATATTTAAATCTATTCGTGCAGAAATCACAAACTAGTCAGAGTGAATTCCATTACATTTTTGACCTCGAATTCCACTCATTTTTGACCGCAAATTTACTTATTTTTGATCCCAAATTTAACTAATTGTTGACCAAGAATTTTACTCACTTTTTACTCATTTTTAACAAATAATTTTTTTGACAGGATAATTTCACTGAATTTTGACCGGAAATTTTACTCATATTTTACCAAAGAATTTTTCTCATTTTCGACCTCGAATTTTACACATTATTGATCACGAATCTTATTAATTTTTGATCGCGAATTTTATTAATTTTTGACCGGGAATTTTATTCACTTTTTTATTTTTGACAGATTTTTTTCCGATCAGAGAATTTTACTCATTTTTTACCGGAAATTTTTTCTACCATAAACTTATTCATTATTGACTACGAATTTCACTTAATTTTTACTCATTTTGGATAGAGTTTATTTTGTCCCGAACAATTTTACTTATTTTGAATTTTGACCGGGAATTTTTCTCATTTTCAGAAGTACTTGACTCATTTTTGATCGAATAATCTACTCACTTTCTACTCGTTTTGATCATTTTTCACAAAAGAATTTAACTGAATTTTGACCGGGAATTTTACTCATATTTTACCGAAAAATTTTACACATTTTTGACCTCGAAATTTACTCATTTTTGACCACTAATTTTATCAATTTTTGATCGCGAATTTTATTAATTTTTGACCGGGAATTTTATTCACTTTTTACTATAGACTCAATTTCTATGATTTTTTGTGAATTTTCATGATTTTTGGAAATTTTCATGCTTTTTGTGACTTTTTTTACGATTTTCGTGATTTTTGCAATTTTCCTGATTTTCTTCTATGGTTTTTTCGAATTTTTCTTATCTCTTGTAATTTTCTTAAATTTTCAGAATCTTTGTAAATTTTCATGTTTTTTGATTTTCATAAATTTCTATGATTTTTTATGAATTCATATGATTTTTAGGATTTTCGTGATTTTTGTAATTTTCCTGATTTTTCGAATTTCTATGGTTTTTTTTCGAATTTTTGTTATCTTTTGTAATTTTCTTTTTTTATGATCTTTGTAAATTTACATGATTTTTGATTTTCGTAAAGGAAAACGCACACCTAACATGGAATTTTTGGGCTCTATGGATTTTGTACATTTTTTGATATGTTGTAGAGGATTTAATTCTTAACAACCTTTAAATGGGACGAAAAGGTATTACATTACGGTCTTTGAGATATGAGCTTTGAACGATGAACTTTTTTACGACTTTTTGTGTCGAGAGTATACGGAATATTGGTGCTACTTTTGTTTATCAGTCAAAACATGGACAGGTTCACATATTTTACGTCACTTACAAATTGAGGTCAACATAGGCTAAGGCCGGGACACCACTGGGGCCAATGTTGGCGCCAGTGCAGTCTCGGCCTTAGCCTATGTTGACATTTGTTAGTTACGTAAAATATATGAACCTGTCAATATTTTGACTGATAAACACCACTATATGACCAGTATTTCGTATACTCTACACACAAAAAGTGGCAAAAATGTTCATCTTTCAACCCTCATATCTCAAAGACTGTAAATACCTATAAGATTTCGTCTCATTTAAAGGTTGTTAAGAATTAAATCCTCTACAACATATCAATAAATGGGCCAAATCCATAGAGCCCAAAAATCCCATGTTAGGTGTGCGTTATCCTTTCTATGATTTTTATGATTTTCGTGATTTCTGAAATTTTCCTGATTTTCTTAATTTCTATGTTTTTTTCGAATTTTTATCTTCTGTAATTTTCTTAAATTTTTATGATCATTGTAAATTTTTTTGATTTTTATAAATTTTTATGATGTTTGTGATTTTTGTAATCTTTCTGATTTTCTTAATTTCTATGGTTTTTTTGAATTTTTGTAATCTTTTGTAATTTCTTTAAATTTTTATGATCTTTGCAAATTTTCAGGATTTTTGTGAATTTTTATGTTTTTTGAAAGGATAACGCACACCTAACATTGGATTTTTGGGCTCTATGGATTTTGCCCATTTTTTGATATGTTGTAGAGGATTTAATTCTGAACAACCTTTAAATGGGACAAAACCTTGTAGGTATTATGGTCTTTGAGATGTGACCGTTGAAAGATGAACTTTTTTGCAACTTTTTGTGTGGAGAGTATACGAAAAACTGGTGTTTATCAGTCAAAATTTTGACAAGTCGGCATATTTTACGTCAATAACAATTGTCACCATAGGCTAAAGCCAGGACCGCACTGACGCCAACATTGACCCCAGTGCGGTTTCGGCTTTATCCTAAGTTGACATTAATTTTTAAGTGACGTAAAATATGTGAACCTGTCAATATTTTGACTGATAAATACCATTAGCACCAGTATCTCGTATACTCTCCACACAAAGAGTCGCAAAAAAGTTCATCTTCTAAGGCTCATATCTCAAAGACCATGACACCTACAAGATTTCGTCCCATTTAAAGGTTGTTCAGAATTAAATCCTCTACAACATATCAAAAAATGGGCAATTATTGTAATCTTTTGTAATTTTCTCAAATTTTTATCATTTTTGTAAATTTTCATGATTTTTGATTTTCTTCAATATCTATGATTTTTTATGAATTTTTATAATTTATGTGATTTTTGTGATTTTTGTAAATTTTTATGATCTTCGTGATTTTTGTAATTTTCCTAACTTTCTTAATTTCTATGATTTTTTCGAATTTTTGTAACCTTTTGTGATTTTCTTAAATTTTTATGATCTTTGTAAATTTTCATGATTTTTGATTTTCATAAATATCTATGATTTTTTATAAATTTTTATAATTTATGTGATTTTTGTAAATTTTTATGATCTTCGTGATTTTTGTAATTTTCCTAACTTTCTTAATTTCTATGATTTTTTCGAATTTTTGTAACCTTTTGTGATTTTCTTAAATTTTTATGATCTTTGTAAATTTTCATGATTTTTGATTTTCATAAATTTCGATGATTTTTTGTGAATTTTTATATTTGGAAATTTTCATGATTTTTGTGAATTTTTATGATTTTTGAAATTTTCATGATTTTTGTGATTTTTGTGAATTTTTATGATTTTTGTAATTTTCCTGATTTTCTTAATTCCTATGGTTTTTTCGAATTTTTGTAACCTTTTGTAATTTTTTTAAATTTCTATGATCTTTGTTAATTTTCATGATTTTTGATTTTCATAAATTTTTATGATTTTTTATGAATTTTTATGTTATTTGGAAATTTTCATTTTTGAAAATTTTCATTTTTGTGAATTTTTGTAATCTTTTCTAATTTTCTTAAATTTTCATGATTTTTGATTTTCATTATTTCATGATGTTTTATGTTTTTTGAAAATGTTCATAACTTTTTATGATTTTTGGAAATTTTCATGATTTTTGTGGATTTTTATGATTTTTGAAATTTTCATGATTTCTGTAATTTTTGTAAATTTTTATGATTTTCGTGATTTTTGTAATTTTCCTGATTTTCTTAATTTCCATGATTTTTTTCGAATTTTTGTAATTTTCTTAAATTTTTATGATCCTTGTAAATTTTCATGATTTTTGGAAATTTTCATGATTTTTGGGAATTTTTATGATTTTTGGAATTTTCATGATTTTTATGAATTTTTATGATTTTCGTGATTTTTGTAATTTTCCTGATTTTCCTAATTTCCCTGATTTTTTCGAATTATTGAAATTTTTTGTAATTTTCTTAAATTTTTATAATTTTTGTAAATTTTCATGATTTTTGTGAATATTTATAATTTCTGTAATTTTCCTGGTTTTCTTAATTTCCATGATTTTTTCGAAGTATTGTGATTTTCTCAAATTTTTATGATTTTTGTAAATTTTCATGATTTTTGATTTTCATAAATTTCTATGATTTTTTGTAAATTTTTATGATTTTTGGAAATTTTCATGATTTTTGTAAATTTTTATGATTTTCATGATTTTTGTAATTTTTCAATTTTTTTATTTCCTATGACTTTTTTGAATTATTGTAATTTTCTCAAATTTTTATGATGTTTGTAAATTTCCGCATAAAATTCTAGGGGTACGATATAGAATTCCAAAGAAATTATGTTGAATGCGGAAGAAATTATATGGAATTTATATCTATGCAATTCCAAAAATATACATGAAATTGCAAAACAGAAAGTGAGCGGAATTCCAGTGAAATCACGCAAAAATT